TGATGATGATGATGTGATGTTTATGTTTGATTTTCCCCTTTTCTTGGTCGGATGTGATGATGATGATGATGATGCTGATGATGATGATGATGATGATGATGATGATAGATGATGATGATTGAGATGATGATGATGAGGATGATGATGATGATCGATGATGATGAGGAGGAGGAGCGAGCAGGAGCGAGGGAGCGAGGAGGAGGAGGAGGAGGAGGAGGGCGGAGGAGGGCGAGGAGAGGAGGAGGAGAGGAAAGGAGGAGGAGGCAGGAGGAGGGAGTAGGAGGCAGGAGAGGAGGAGGAGAGAGAGGAGGAGGAGGAGGAGGAGGAGGAGGAGGAGGAGGAGGAGGAGGAGAAGCAGGAGCAGGAGGAGGAGGAGGAGGAGGAGGAGGAGAGAGGAGGATGTGAGGAGGAGGAGGAGTAGGAGGAGGAGGAGGATCCCTCGCCGTAGAGGAGGGCTGCTGAGCAGCTGGCCCCCCCCCACCCCTGGGCCCGCGAGGCCCCCCCCCCCCCCACCGCCCCCCCGGCGTTTTTGGCCGCCCCGCCGGCCGCCGCTCGAAGTGCAACCCCCAAGCGCGTTCCACTGCTCACAAAATGCCTGCTCGCAAAGTGCCCGAAGAACAAACACATGTCTGCATCGATGTTGTGTATCGTGAGTCCCCCATGGCGGACCCAGGCCATTTGCGAGTAGTAACCTTTGCGAGTTGTGTAGCGCGCTTGTGTACGTAAGGCAGGACGGGGTGGAGAAGTGGGAGGGGGGAGGAGGAGGAGGAGAAGGAGGAGGAGGAGGAAGAGGAGGAGGAGAAGGAGGAGGGAGGCGATGGCGGAGAAAGTGTGTCGTGGTGCCCGCGGCAACTTCTGCTCATGGCAGCAACAACCTGCGATGGCCATCCAGAGCCTGGCCATGAGGCCTGAGCATGTGGCTGCTCTCTTCCCTGGGCCTGGGGATCCAGACGGCTGTCAGGCGTGAGAGGGACCTCCGCCGCATGGCCCTAGCCCGCCGCAGCACGTGTCAGTTCGCTTCCCTTTTTCCCAACCATCCTGTGGTGTTGGGTCCTCGTTTTGAAGAGACGGTGCCCCGCGTCTCCTTCCTTCCTCCCGCTGCCCCCCTCCTTCCTCCTCCTCCCCTTCCTCCCCCCTCCTCCCCCTCCCACACCCATTCTGGCACACCCCTCACACGTTTCGTGGCCCCATAGGGAGCTCCACCGAAGGCACCAGTGGCTGCGCCCGCATGCGGTTCCACCCCCCCTTCTGGCACACCCCTCACACGTTTCGTGGCCCCATAGGGAGCTCCACCGAAGGCCCCAGTGGCTGCGCCCGCATGCGGTTCCACCCCCCATTCTGGCACACCCCTCACACGTTTCGTGGCCCCATAGGGAGCTCCACCGAAGGCCCCAGTGGCTGCGCCCGCATGCGGTTCCACCCCCCATTCTGGTACACCCCTCACACGTTTCGTGGCCCCATAGGGAGCTCCACCGAAGGCCCCAGTGGCTGCGCCCGCATGCGGTTCCACCCCCCATTCTGGCACACCCCTCACACGTTTCGTGGCCCCATAGGGAGCTCCACCGAAGGCCCCAGTGGCTGCGCCCGCATGCGGTTCCACCCCCCATTCTGGCACACCCCTCACACGTTTCGTGGCCCCATAGGGAGCTCCACCGAAGGCCCCAGTGGCTGCGCCCGCATGCGGTTCCACCCCCCATTCTGGCACACCCCTCACACGTTTCGTGGCCCCATAGGGAGCTCCACCGAAGGCCCCAGTGGCTGCGCCCGCATGCGGTTCCACCCCCCATTCTGGCACACCCCTCACACGTTTCGTGGCCCCATAGGGAGCTCCACCGAAGGCCCCAGTGGCTGCGCCCGCATGCGGTTCCACCCCCCATTCTGGCACACCCCTCACACGTTTCGTGGCCCCATAGGGAGCTCCACCGAAGGCCCCAGTGGCTGCGCCCGCATGCGGTTCCACCCCCCATTCTGGCACACCCCTCACACGTTTCGTGGCCCCATAGGGAGCTCCACCGAAGGCCCCAGTGGCTGCGCCCGCATGCGGTTCCACCCCCCATTCTGGCACACCCCTCACACGTTTCGTGGCCCCATAGGGAGCTCCACCGAAGGCCCCAGTGGCTGCGCCCGCATGCGGTTCCACCCCCCATTCTGGCACACCCCTCACACGTTTCGTGGCCCCATAGGGAGCTCCACCGAAGGCCCCAGTGGCTGCGCCCGCATGCGGTTCCACCCCCCATTCTGGCACACCCCTCACACGTTTCGTGGCCCCATAGGGAGCTCCACCGAAGGCCCCAGTGGCTGCGCCCGCATGCGGTTCCACCCCCCATTCTGGCACACCCCTTCACACGTTTCGTGGCCCCATAGGGAGCTCCACCGAAGGCCCCAGTGGCTGCGCCCGCATGCGGTTCCACCCCCCATTCTGGCACACCCCTCACACGTTTCGTGGCCCCATAGGGAGCTCCACCGAAGGCCCCAGTGGCTGCGCCCGCATGCGGTTCCACCCCCCATTCTGGCACACCCCTCACACGTTTCGTGGCCCCATAGGGAGCTCCACCGAGCGCCCCAGTGGCTGCGCTCGCATGCGGTTCCGCCCCCCCATTTCGGCACACCCCTCACTCGTTTCGTGGCCCGGGGGCGCCACCGAAGAATATATCCACAATTGCGGTATTCACAACTACGTATGGTTGGGTCTTTCGTCAGGCTAATTCTAAGAAGACAGCAGCACGCGACGCCTCCAGGGGAAGGTCTCGGGTCGATCGGCCACGAGTGCTGCTTCTGATGGTCGCCGCCTGCGGTCGCCGCTCGGAGAGCTCTGGCCGCGTCTGCTCGGAGTACGTCGTCATCGGCAGTTCTATGGCTGCGGCTGCGGGATATAGCCTGTTGCCTATTGCAGTGGCTTCCGCTCTTGGTGGGCGCTGCCTCGATCCACCCCACAGGGAGCACCTAATGACATATAACACCCACCTCGCATCTACGCATACACAAGTTGCTAAGAGACGCAAGCGGCCCGTCCGTGCCCAGAGTCATACAACACACACTTGGCACCACCGATTGGGCTGTCACAGTTTGCGATTCGACGACTTGCTGGGAAGCACCCCTGTGGGCATGACGCGCCAAGGTTGAAGCAACGTTGCATAACTAGATTTGGGAAGCAACGAACAACACTTGTCTAGCAGCTATGTGGCAAAATTGCTGGATTCCATGGTGTTTCCAGGATTTTCTAGTACGGTGCTGAAGTTTTGGCCAACGGTGAGTTATTGCACTGCGAAGGTGGAAGCTATGCGGTGTAAGCTATGCCGTGTACGCTGCCTTGTTTGAGTTATGTAGATGAAAGCTGTGCGGTGCAAGCTATGCAGTGTAAGCCATGTCGCGTAAACTATGCGGCGTGGACTGGAGGTGAACACTGTGTGGTGTAAGCTATGTTGTGTAAGCTATGCCGTGTAAACTATGTCTTGTAGGCTACGCGGGGTAGGCTGTGTGGTGTAAACTATGCAATGAAAGCCACATGGCGCAAGGTATGTGGTAAGCCGAATGGCGATCTGGAGAGTCCAGACGAATAGTCCACATCCAGAACCCAGAATGCCGCATTCTGGATTCGGGCTTCGGATTCTGGATTACCTTCACGTTCCGTTTTATCGAATCCCGGAATCAAATCTGATGTCCGATATAAGAATTCCGCAGCTTTCGCGCCCTCCGTTGGCTCTCTGGGAACTCCAGAAATCTTTGGAGGGAGGGGTGGAGGGGCGGTGGGGGCGGGGGGGCGGGGGGGAGAGGTGGGGTTGTAAAGGGCAGGGAGTGGAGGAGGGGGGGAGGCGGGGAGGCGGGGGTGGAGGGGGGTTGGATCGGGTTGGAGGGTAGGGTGGGAGGTAGGGTGGAGGAGGGGTCCAGGACCCAAAGAGAGAGTGGGTATGCGGGAGAGGTAAGCCCCTTCCCCCCAAGCAAGGAGGTTGGAACAACGAACTCCTTAATCCACCAGCGCCCGAATGGCTGGTGGGATTAGGTCTGCCCCTCTGAATCCCCCAAGGTCGACTCTTGAGGCCCTCTCAGGGCGCGCTTGGGGCGCTCTTGGGCGCTCTTGAGACTCTCTTGGGCCATGTTAGTGCCACCTCGGGGCCTCAGCAGCCCATCAGGCGCGAAAAGGCGACACGGCAAGCACTTGGATGCTTCTCAGGATTGGGAAGGATTTGGGCTCCTTGGGGACAGCCTTGGGAGGCTCCGTGGCCACTTGGACCCGTCTTGGAGCGATCCCTAGGCCTCAGGGAGCGTGTCGGTGCGCTATCTCGAGCCATCTCGGAGGCCATCTTGGACTTTTTTGTGTGCCCTCTCGGGGCCGTCTTGAGCCGTCTTGCACGCTCTAACCCCCCTTACCCTTCCCGTCCAGACCCAGTGGCAGGGGCTACCCCCTCCCCGAAGGGGAAGAAGGGGGTTGGAAGATGAAACGCAGGGCTGGTGGAATTCGCGCGAGTGGGGGTAAGGGACGCCTCTTGCTCTTCGCCCGTCCGTTTCCCGCCCCCTAGTCTGTCGCCCCCTCCCCCTGTTCCACACCCACTGGTGGCACGATCGTTGCTGCTGTCATGCGCGCCATGCGTTTGAACCAGGGCTTCCACACCCTTCTCCGACCATGTATCTCTACCTGCAGTGCTCCAGAAGGGAACGGGTGGTGGTAGCGGGATTGTGCGAGGACAGGAATAACATTCGTTGGGCTTCATCTCCTTGTCCCCGCCGTCGTTGCCAGCGTCGTCGTTGCTAGCGTCGACGATGTCGTCGACGATGTCGTCGTCGCCGTCGTCGTCGTCGTCGTCGTCGTCGTCGTCGTCGTCGTCGTCATCATCATAATCGACGATGTCGTCGTCGTCGTCGTCGTCGTCGTCGCCGTCGTTTCATGCTTTCCCCACCAGGCAGCGCCTGGAAGGTGGGAGCCCAGACTCAGGCTGACGACCCCAGCGCTCACGCAGTCGGGCGTGGAAGGGCACCCGTCGCCGCGCCTCCTGCCGTGCCAGGCGGAGAGGGAGGCCCGTGGGGCGGGAGTGGGGAGGCCGTGCGTGCAGGGCGGGGAGGAGGACGGTGGAGCTGGGGGGAGGGGAGGGCATGAGGAGAGTCGGTGGTTCAAAGATGGGGTCCTGAGGGATGGCGTCCCAAGGACGAGGTAAAGTCTACCCTTGTATCCCTTCCCATCCTTAGGACCCCATCCCTCAGGACCCCATCTTTGAACCACCGCAAGAGGCAGCTGAGCTGAAACAGCCACACGAGCGACGCAGAAGAACGGGGCCGTCTGCACCGGCATTCGCGCGTAAGCTGCCCGCGTCAGGTTGTGCGTGAGCGCCCCTCTTTCCAGTGCAGAGTGCCGCGCCGGCGGCTGCGTAGGCCACCGCGTGAGGTCGCTATGCCACCGTGCGAAAGACCCGTTGCGTTTGGTCGCTCGCACGAGCACAGGCATCACCCTTCGAAGGCACCGCAGTGCAGTTCGTCGGTCGCGAGCTGAGCTGAAACAGCCACATGAGCGACGCAGAAGAACGGGGCCGTCTGCACTGGCATTCGCGCGTAAGCTGCCCGCATAAGACCCGTTGCGTTTCGTCGCTCGCACGAGCACAAGCATCACCCTTCGAAGGCACCGCAGTGCGGTTCGTCGGTCGCGTGTGAGGCTGCCCCTGCACGCAGCAGAGCCACAAGTCGCGTGCGCAGGGCTCCCGGGCCGCTCGGGCAGCGCGCACGCCGTCGTCACTGCTCCGCGTCCTCCGAGGGCTCCCCTGCTCTTGGAGCTGTGCAGGGGCAGCTCTCGCAGAAGAGGCCACAGCACCCGCTCCATCTGCCTGAGTTGGCCGTTCCAGGCTCTCCGAGCGACGCGTTCGCAGAGAAGCAGTTGGCAGCGGGGGGTGGCGCTGCCCAGCGGCCCAGCCCCCCCCCCCCAATTTTTGAAGACTTCGACTGGCACGCGACCGTGCAGTTCTTGCTCGAGATGTTTATGGCCTCATCCCGCCACCGTTCCTTCGGGATCGGGTCCCCAGCAACTCTCATTATTCTTATTGTTATTCTTATGTATTGTTATTTTGCTATCAGCGTTATTTTCATTATTCGTTGATGATTAGTATTATATTTATTATTATCATTAGTTTTATACTTATTACCATTAATCTTTCAGTTGTTGGTATTATGATTATGCTTTTGATCATGATGATGGTCATGACTAGTATTACTATTCTTATCATACTTATACTTATTATTATGATTAGAAAAATTGTGATCATTGTTATCATTTTTGTTACGACTACTAATCTTTTTTTTTCCTACCTAGGCTCTGCCTAGAAGGGTTCTCACTCGCTTGGCTTAAAAGGGGCCAGGCAGTGCAAACCGCCCCGGGCGGTTCCCCCAGTCCCCTGGGAGCCAAGCAAAAGCAACAGCAAAGTTACAAGCAAACGCGCGGTTCCCCCAGTTGCGCTCCCTGGGTGCCAAGCAAAAGCAAAAGCAAAGGCAACACTGAAGGCAAAAGCGAAGGCAAAGCAAAAGCATAGCATAGCATAGCATAGCATAGCGCAGCATAGCATAGCGAAGCATAGCATAGCATAACATAGCCTAGCCTAGCCTAGCCTAGCCTAGCCTAGCCTAGCCTAGCCTAGCCTAGCCTAGCCTAGCATAGCATAGCATTGCGCAGCATAGCATAGCATAGCATAGCATAGCATAGCATAGCATAGCATAGCATAGCCTAGCATAGCATAGCCTAGCCTAGCATAGCATAGCATAGCATAGCGCACTGCACTTACGGCGTGGCTTCGGCGGTTCTGGCGCTATTACTACTACTACTACTACTACTACTACTACTACTACTACTACTACTACTACTACTACTACTACTACTGCTACTACACTACTAGTACTATACTACTACTACTACTACTACTACCACCACTACTATTACTACTACTACTACTACTACTACTACTACTACTACTACTACTACTACTACTACTACTACTACTACTACTACTACTACTACTACTACTACTACTACTACTACTACTACTACTACTACTACTACTACTACTACTACTACTACTACTACTACTACTACTACTACTACTACTACTACTACTACTACTACTACTACTACTACTACTACTACTACTACTACTACTACTACTACTACTACTACTACTACTACGACTACGACTACGACTACGACTACGACTACGACTACGACGACGATGGGGAAAAGGAGGAGGACGGCTTTTACCGCTCCTATTAATGATGCTTTCCTAGAGGCTCCAACTCCTAGGTAGGGTCGCACTGGGATAATTATGATCATTCTTATCATTATGATGATTATATGATTAATTGAATCGCTTCGCTCATTCCGCCGGCCCATTTCGCATGACTGAGCCTCTTGGTGCCGCTGGGGGGCCTCTTCAGCGTCGCTTGGGGGCCTCCTGAGGGCCTCTTGGGGGCTTTTGGGGCCTCTCAGGGGCCTCTTGAGGCCTCCTTGGGGCTTCTTAAGGCCGAGGGCTCGAAGTTTTGTTTTGTGTTCCCCTTTGGGGCATCGCTTGGGGCCCTCTTGGGCCCCTCTTGGGCCGTCTTCGATGCCTCTGGGGCCGTCTTGGAGCCCTCTTGGGCCATCTTGCGGCCTTCTTGGGAGCTTCTTGGGCCCTCTTAGGGCGATCTTGGGGGCCTCTTGGGCCGTCTTGGGGCGTCGGGAAGCCGAAAAGATGGACACGCCAAAATCTGCCCAAAACCTAAGGAAAAGTAATGAATTTTGCCTCTTGGGGCCCTCTGGGGAGTGCTCTTGGAGGCCTCTTGGGGCGTCTGGGGGCCATCTTGGGCGTCTTGGAACGATCGTGTGGCATCTCGGAGCACTCTTGAACCATCTTGGAGGGCTCTTGGCGGCCTCGTGGCCCTTCTTGGGGCTCTCTGGAGGGCCACGGGGGCGGCGCCCAGGAGGAAAACCATCTCTGACCCGACCCTGCCGGGGATCGCCCGGGGTACTTTTCGTCCGGGGACCCCCAGGGGCCGCCCCGCGCGCGCGAAGTAGAAGTATTATTTAGCAGTTTCCGGAGATCTTAGCACGCCTCTGGCCCGTTGGGTCGGCGATTTTTGTGATTATTACGATTATGACTACGATTGTGACTATGATTGTGATTAGGATTATGACTGTCATGATCAGTATGAGTATGATTCCGGTTATGATTCTGATCTCGACTCTAAGACGTGCAGGGAGATTGTTGGCTCCATCACAGTCGGACCTCTGGAGGGCCCGTTGCCATCGGCGGCCCGGGCCCCTGCGGGGCTCCGCCGTCGCTGTGCTCCACGTTGTCGTGCCCACGGCCGTGCGAGCCCTGGGGCCCTCCACTCCCCTCTGTGCTCGGGGCACGGCGGCGTGCTGCGAGGGCACCTGCCTTTCACCGGGGAGTGGACAGACCCCCTACCCTGACACGTCGATTAAAAGGAATTTGCCGTTCTCTTCTTGCCGCCGTTCTCTTCTTGCCGCCGTCTCTTCTTGTCGCCGTCCTCTTCTTGCCGCCGTTCTCCTGCCCTGCGCTGCGGCTCTTCTTGCCGCCCCGCGCGCCGTCTCTTCTTGCTGTCGGGGGTGGACAGACCTCCTACCCTGACACGTCGATTAAGGAGTTTGCCGTTTTCGGTTCGCGAGAGGGCGTCGCGGCCGTCATTTTTGCGGGTTCAGGTCCGTCGGTTTCGGTCCCAGGCCGTTTTCACTAAAGGGAGGTTTACTAGAGGGAGGTTTGTCCACCGCCGATTCCACCTTATCAAACATGCGAAGCTTATGTTTAAGTCGGGCGATTCCCTCTACAGGAGGAATGCTCAAGCATGGTCAAAACACAGTCTAGGGACGATGTTTTATGCATGTTTGCCATTTTGTTGGCGTATTTTTGATTCTTTTTTATGGTTCGTCCAAAATCGGCCTGTGGGGGGACACGCCCTACCTAAGCTTGTGATTACGCATGTCCTGATTGTTCGAAAAAGCCGTGGAGGAAAAATGGGAGGGGGCCAGCGGTATGATGGGTTACGTTTTAGCAGGATGGGATGGGCGGAAGGTATCGGAGGGGTGTTTTTTTGGGCAGGGTGCAGGGGGGAATCTTTTGGACAGCTTGTGGAATATTGATCGAGTTGGGGACAGGGCGTAGGCGGCAGTGCAACAGGGAGTCGAGGGGTGGCGGACAGGTTGGTAGCAGGGAGGGGATGCAGTGAGGGGTAGAGTGGAGCGGAAAGGAAGGGACAGGAGGATGCGGTGGAGGGCCAGGGGGAGGAGGGGCGGGATGTGGTGGTGGCGAGGCTACGGGAGGGGGAGGGTGGAGGCGGAGCTGAAGGGCGGGGGGATGCAGGGCAGGGGATGAGGGGATGAGGGGGGAGAGAAGGTGGGATGACACCTCCCTCACTTCCATTTGCCGAAGCCCGTCGGCGTTCACGCGGGGGTCGCATCGATTGGAGGGCAGCGCTGCTGGACAACGGGCACGCGCGTCGCCGACGGGCTCGCCCCCGCACTGCGTTCTTCTCCCATCTGCAGGGCCCGTGCTCAGCGGGACGACGGGCATCTGAGAAAGGGTGAGGGCAGGGGTCCAGCGGCGCGCCCGCAGTGAGACGGGGGCGGGCCTTCTCAGAAGGCTCGGGGAGCCTCCTGCCTTCTGAGGAGTTGTCTCAGCCTTCCCCGAAGCAGAGGTTCAGGAAGACAATTATCGGGTTGGGAGGATAGGGTTGGGAGAAATGAGGATATCCTTACCCGTAGGCGGTCGAAGGCATCGCGCATTGCATCCGGATGCTGTTGCTCACGCTCTCCCCTTCGCAGCCCCTTCCTCCCGACACGGTAACTCTTCTCCCCAGAAGCAGGGGTGGACCGGGGAGCAGATGATGACATGAACATGAGCATCAAGTTTCGGAGGTCCGCGCGGATTTCTCGCATCGGCGCCGGAGCCCCCTGGCGGCGCCTCCGGCGCGCCGCCCCTGGCGTGCTCCGCGCGCAAGGGCGGGGGGTTTGCCGCTGGGGCGTTCTGCCGCTGTG